TAGTTACCTCTATTACAACACCTCACTTCCCTTTGTTAGGGATTAAAAATTGTTTCCCCAAGGATTTGCAGTAATGTGGTCCCAATTTTTAAAAAATATTAGACACATACAAATATAATATATAAATACACAAGTATGGAGAAAAAGATCTAAAAAGCATATATTATTCAGGTGATAAAAGTGGTAATATCCTAGTACTCGAACCATGTTTGTATTTACTCTTTTTTTTTTCTAATTTTCTATGGTATACCTAATTGTTTCTAAAAAATACAAAATTGCTTAGAATGAGTTAAATGAAAAATGGTTCAGGGCTGGTTGCACGAAAGGAAAAAAAAATCTCTTGAAGGCATGTATCCTTTGTCCAAACACCAAAGAATTACTACAGATAATGTTCTCCCTGGAGATGAGCTTCCAATTAAAACACACAGACACATCACTACCACCACAAGACATAGTAAGCAGAAAACAAAAAAGGAAAGATCCAGATCTCCACATATTTCAGATTTTATAATTATCAGAGGCAAAATCTAAAATAGAAAAATTTTAAATCTCTAAATAAACAACCAAAAAATTAATGAACAAAATGAAAAAACATATATAAAGAAGTAAAGGGACCTTCTAAAAATGAAAGATATAATCAATACATTAAACAGAAGGTCTGACACAGATGAGAAGCAAATTAGCAAACTAGAATTCTGAATAAATTAGAATACAAACCAAGATAACATAAAATAGAGTTTAATAAACAAGTAGGATAGAATAGGTAAGTTTACTATTAAACACATACAAATAAAATATATGAATACACAAGTATGGAGAAAAAAGATCTAAAATATATGACTGTTAATTTTATTTTTTATTTAATTTTATTTGTGGTGCTGGGGACTGAACTGAGGACTTCATGTATGCTAAAAAAGCACTTCTACTACTTGAGTCACATTCCCAACCTTCTTATAATATTAGATTAATAACAGAATATGAAGAGACAGGGCTGGGGATGTGGCTCAAGCGGTAATACGCTTGCCTTGCATGTGTGCGGCCCGGGTTCAACCCTCAGCACCACATACAAACAAAGATATTGTGTCTGCCGAAAACTAAAAAATAAATATTAAAAAATTCTCTTTTTTTTTTTTAAAAAAAGAGACAATATTAGAAGAAACAGTATTAAAATGAAGAGCATGAACAGTATTTTAGCCAAGAGAGAAAACAGCTTAAACCAAGAACAAAAATTAGTCTAATAATTAACCCCAACAGAGGAAAAACCTTGCAGAGATACAAGAATAAAATCTGCAAAGCCCTGAGAAAAAATAATTGTCAACCTAGAAGTTCATACCCAAAACTACCCAGAGCAAGTTCTTCATATGTGAGATCCTCAATTCAATCCCCAGCACAAAATAAAAAACAAAAACATAAATAGTTGAGATGAAGACAATTTCAGAAAATAAACATTGGGAAGCCTTATTATCAGCACTCTAAACAAATAAAAGATGTCTCCATCAAAATACCAACAATATCTTCCAGAACCAGAAAAAAATAGTCCTAAAATTCATATGGCAGAATAAAAGACCCAGAATGACCAAAGCAACCCTGAGCAATAAGAACTAAACTGAAGGTTTCAAAATACCTGACCTCAAATTATACTACAGAGGCATAGTAACAGAGGTAAGACACTGGTATCAAAATAAGACATGAAGACCAAGGAATAAAACTGAAGACACAGATACAAACACAAATAGATAGTCATGTGATGCCCAAAAAAGGAGCCAAAAACATACATTGGAGAAAAGATAGTGCCCCAGTCCGGCAAAATAACCAGGTGGGTGTGGGGGTATGACGAGCAACTTGTGTACATTGATATAGCAGGAGTGGGAGCCGTTTATTGTAGGACCGGAGGGGTATATATACATTACACACAGCTTATCTTCATTAACATAAAGTAGATACAGCAGTCAACCAATAAGGAATCTCCACACTTAATGGCTCGCTGGCGTTACTTCACAAACCACTCCCTCTAGCAAAATGCCAGGCGCCATCTTGACTTGTTTACAGACCCTAACAAGATAGCTTTTTAAACAAATGATGCTGGAAAAACTGGATATCCATATGTAAAAGTATGAATCTAGATCCCTAGCTCTCACCCTGCACAAAAATCAACTCAAAGGGTATCAAAGACCAAGGAATTAGATCAGAAACACTGTGAATGCTAGAAGAAAACACAAGATCAACACTCCAACATAATGGTAAAGGGAATGCCTTCCTTAATAAGACTCCTAAAGCTCAAGAAATACAACCAAGCTGGTCACAGTAGTGCACATCTGTAATCCTAGCATCTCAAGAGGAGGAGGCAGTAGGATCACAAATTCAAAACCAGCCTCAGCAAAAGCCAGGCGCTAAGCAACTCAGTGAGACCCTGTCTCTAAATAAAATACAAACTAGGACTGGGGATGTGGCTTGGTGGTCGAGTGCCCCTGAGTTCAATTCCTAGTACTCCTTCCCCCAGAAGAAAGAATTAATAAGTGGAATTCCATCAAATTAAAAAGCTTCTGCACAGCAAAGGAAACACGAGTATGAGGAGACAGGCTACATAATGGGAGAAAACCTTTGCCAGCTACACTTCCATCAGGGGATTGAGATCCATTTACAAAGAACTCAAAAAAAAGAACAAACAAATAACCCAACCAAAAATGGGCAAATGATCTATACACACATTTCTCTAAGAGTAAATAGAATTGGTCTTAATAAAAATACAAGAAAATTAGGGCTAGGGATGTGGCTCAAGTGGTAGCACACTCGCCTGGCATGCGTGCAGCCCAAGTTCGATCCTCAGTACCACATATAAACAAAGATGTTGTGTCTGCCGAAAACTAAAAAAATAAATAAATATTAAAATTCTCTCTCTCTCTCTCTTTTGAAAAAAAAATACAAGAAAATGTTCAACATTCTTAGCAATCAGGGAAATGCAAATCAAAACTACACTGAGATTTCATCTCATTCCAATTAGAATGGCAATCATCACGATTACAAATAACAATTGCTAGTAAGGTTGTGGAATATAATGCTGGTGAGACTGAAAACTAGTATAACCACGTGAACTAAAGTCAGTACTATACTGATACAAGCATACAAGTGTTTCTAGCAGCACAATTCATACTAGAAACGTTGTGGAACCAGCTTAGGTGCCCATCAACAGACAAATGGATAAATAAAAATGTGGAATATAAATGTAGTTTTGTTTAGTCATAAAGAATGAAATTATGGCATTTGCTGATAAATGGATGGAATCGGAGAACATCATGCTAAATGAAATTAACCCGACACAGAAGTCAAAGGTTGAATGGCTTCTCTCCCATGTGGAAGTGGAGGGTGGAGAGTATACAAAGGGTGGTGAGACCTCTTGAAAACAGAAGACAGACAGATAATGAAAGAGGACTAAGGGAGAGGAAAGAGGGAGGGAAAAGTACTGGGGAATGAAACCTACCACATATGCTATGTCCACGTATGATTATGCACTAACCACAATAATAACAGAAGGAAGATAAATAAGAATTGAGCAAACAGACCAGTGAAGGAGAAGAGGGAAAGGGTAGGTACTAGGGAATGTAAATGATCAAATGATGTTTCATGTGTATACAAATATGGCATAATAAATCCACTATTATATATAATATATAATAGTGGATTTATTATATATAATAAAATTGCAACACTACAAAGTAAAATTTAAAAAACAAAGATGTATTTCAGTAAGAAAATGATAGCAAAAGAAAGTCTTGGATACAAGAGAAAACCATGAGGGAGGGGGAAAGGGAAATATGTAGCTTGACATAAAGAAACACTGGTTTAACTGATTTAAAAATACTTTCAGTATCTAATCTATAGGGTGAAAAAAAAAAGAACAAAAATGCAAAATAAGAGCTTAGGGCTCAGTGTACAGCTCAGCAACATAGTGTATGACTAGCATGTATGAAGCCCTGGGTTTGCTTTCTGACACCACATCAAACAAACACAAAAATAAAATAAATGCTTTAAATTTATGAGAGAGAATAAATAGAGTTAAAGCTTGTAAGGTCATAGTACTATTCCACAAAGGTATAATGATGTTGACTAACTTTGGCCTTTGCTATTTTAAGTATGAAAATATGAAAGGTATAATTTTGAGAGTCATCTCTGTGAAAAACAAAAGTAAAAAAAAATTTTAATAATAAGAAAAAAATTTAGAATTACTGGTAAATGATCTAATTCTTGAGAAAGATTTAATAATTTTAAAGTTAATCTGCACCTACTAATATTGTTTCGAAGCATGTACCAGAAAGCTTGACAAATCCACCATCACAAAAGGGCATTTTAACTTTTTTTCAAGAGACAAAAATTAATAAGGCCAAGCCAAGTAATTAACAACAAACATCAAAGAATCAGAAACATAAGAAACCATATTTTTGACCAAAAATCAAAATAAAAACATTCAAAAACAAGAAAAAAAAAGTTTGGAAATGTAAAAGTATACTTCTCTACAGACTTGTAACTGAAATAAAGCGTAGTAGAAATTAGAAAAATGCATAAACATTTTAAGATATACCAAACTAAAATCTGCATAATGTAGTCAAAACAATTTCTAGAGGGATAATGATAAACGTAAGAATACTCTAATTTAAAATCTGAAATATACACCCAATTCAAGTTTTCTGAAAGACAATTAAAAACATACTCTTCAAAAGCATAATTCATGTAGACTAACAAAGTATTACATTATGCAAATTCTCATAAAACTGAGAACTGGTCTTAAAACTACATAAAATGCAGTAATTTTTAATTTTAAATGATTAAGAAGTGTTGTCTTATATTTTAAATATTTTAAGAATGTCCAGTAAATAATCCAGGACCTGGCATATAATAAGGACTTAAGCATTTAAGATTTATTCAATTAGAGTTACTAAATAGCACAGCAATGTAAACATGTAAGTTGTTATTAAAATCCCAGATTTAAATAAAGGAACACTTACCTGGTAATAAAATTTTATCTGTCTCACCAAAATGGTTAGATTATGAATTCTAAGTGAAGCATCATTGTTGACTTTTTTATTTACTCTCTGACTCTCCGATTTTGGATTACTGAAAGAAATTTGAAAAATGCTTTACAATTACATTGAATGTAAATCAAAACTACATTGAGATTTCATCTTACTCCAGTTAGAATGGCAATCATCAAGAATACAAATAACAATAATAAATTCTAACAAGAACCTGGGAGAAAAGTCCATTCATACATTGTTGGTGGGATTGCAAGTTAATACAATTGCTTTGGTAGGCAGTATGGAGATTCCTCAAAAAAACTAGGTATGGAACCACTCTTAATATTTATCCAAAAGAACTAAAACAATTGCTTTGGTAGGCAGTATGGAGATTCCTCAAAAAAACTAGGTATGGAACCACTCTTAATATTTATCCAAAAGAACTAAAAATAGCATACTATAGTGATATAGGCACATCAATATTTCTAGCAGTTCAATAGCCAAGTTATGGACCAGCCCAGATGTCCATCAACAGATGAATGGATAAAGAAATGTGGTGCATGTATATATATATACATCTCTCTCTCTCTCTCTCACACACACACACACACACACACACACACACACACACTGAAGTTTTACTCAGCCAAAAAGAAAAATGAAATTATAGCATTTCCTGGCAAATTGATGGAAATGAAGAATATCATGGTAAAATGATATATGCCAGATCAGAAAGTCAAGGGTCAAACATCTTCTCTCATATTTGGATGCTACAGGAAAATAAGGGGGAAAAAGCTAGAACCCCATGAAAGAAAGGGAGATCAGTGGAGTGGAAAAGCAGGTCTGAAGGGGATGGGGGAAGAACAGGTTAAGGGAGAAAATGCAGAATGAAGTTGACCAAACTATGCTGTGTGTATATGTGAATGTACCATGGTAAATTCCACTTTCACGTATACTTACAAAGCAGAATTTATAAAAACCATTAATAGATGGAAGGAAGGCCAGTGGAATAGAGGAAGGGGAATGAGGTGGTATGTGACAGGGAGAAGGGTTGGGGAGGAAGAGGTACTGAGGAATGAAATGTATAGTAAATTATAGTCCATACATGTATGATTATGTCAAAATGAACCTCACTATCATGTATAGGTATAATGTACTAATAATTAAATGTACTAATAATACATTGAAACATGATTAATCCTGTATTTTGTTTATAAAATTGTGTAAACATTTTCATTATTGGATACAAAAAGACAGATGTTTTGTCATGTATTTTGTGCTTCTAACTAACACAAATACATCTGATATTCCAAAATCAGTGGCAAAATAAATTTGAAACCTGGGTCAGACATTGTCCTTTATTCTCATGTTTTCTCTCCCCATTCCTGAGATGAATAACATCTTAGTCCTAACCCAAACCCTCACTTTTAAAAACTGGTACTGGGGATTGAACCCAGGTGTGCTCTACCACTGAGCTACATCTCCAGACTTTTTTAATTTTCATTTTGAGATGGGTTCTTGTTAATTTGCCCTGGGTGCCCTCAAACTTGCCATCCTCCTGCCTCAGTGGGATTGTAATTGCTGGGATTACAGATGTGTGTGACTGAGCCTGGCTTATTCCTTTTGAATATATATTTTACTCAACCAAAACGAATCCACTTAAATCAAGAATTTAAACTACTGGCTAATAACCCAATAAATGTTACTTATCCTCCCTAGGTAATGGAGATTATATTTGAGCAAATGTTCTAAAGAATGAAGTGGATAATGCAAGTTAACACTTTCATATAGATAAACTTTGTAGATTCAATTAAAGCAATGGGCTGAATGATTATGAGGACAAACTGAAGCAGAAAGAGAAAGGCCCTAATTAAAAATGGGAAATAAAATTAAAATGGTGGCATCAGAATAGATGGTTAAGTTGAGGCCAGAAGACAAGCATGTACAAGCTAAGTTCTCATTAAGAGAAACAAGCCAAGCTATAGAAAGATGATGCCAGCTTAAATGACAGATAATAAATCAAGACACCCTGTTCAAGGGCTGAGTTCAGAACATCAGAAGCAACCTAAGCAGTCACTCAGTATTTTCCTATGATTACAGAATTTAATCCTCCACTTAAGGATGCAGAGAAGTCAAGAAATTGACACCTACCCAGTATGGAATACAAGCTGAATAGAAAACTCTCATTCCTTAAACCACGTCCTTTTCTCACAGCTCATTGCACTACTAATACCTTCAGGTCCTTCCCTGGATGAATTAGAATGAATGGTGCTTTATTTCAGCAATGTTCCAATTATGAGGCCTTGAGTCTCCTTTACAATCTTAGCTGATAACCTCAAACAACTTTTGTTTTGGTATGCTATAGTTATCACTATTTACTGTATAAGAAAGTAAAACTGCTCTTTTTCTTCATCAAGGCCCCCAATGGCAGACACAGAGATGCACAGAGGACCCTGATGGGCAAGATCATCATCCTCAAGGTTGACCCTTGTGACACATCTGAGAATGCCAAAGCCAAAATTGAAATAAGGGGGCATCCCACCTGATCAATGGTGTCTATTATTTTTGGGCAAACATCTGGAGGACAGAATGGCTATTCTCTCTCAGATTACAACATCCAGTAAGAGTCCACCCTGCTGCACTTAGTGCTTCACCTGCAAGATGGCATCACTGAGCCTTCCCTGTACGAGCTTGCCTAGAAGTATAATCGTGACATGAATATCTGTTAGAAGTGTTATGCCCACCTTCACCCTGTGTTGTCAAATGCCACAAAAACATGTGTGGTCACATCAACAACTTCCACCCCAAGAAGGTCAAATAAAGCCCTTTATATGACTCCTTTCCCCAAAGGGGTCCCTTCCTGCTCAAGCAAGACCCAATTCCTCACTCTCAATTCATATCAAGTGTGCTACTTGTTTTCTATTCACTTATTCATTGATAAATCATTCCTAAATTTCACTATTATACACAATGCAGCAATAGGTGGTGTTTTCTCATACATACGTCACATGTTCAAGGTTTTTTTCTGAAGCACAGAGAAGAACTATTGGGGCATAAGGTATATGCATTTTCATTTCTAATAAACGCTGCCAAAAAGATCTTCACAATGGCTGTCAGAATTTATACTCCCACTCTTAATTCCTTTTCTCACATACCTTTAGACATTTTACATTTTACAGGTATCAAGTAATTGTACTTTTATGTTGTAACTGGTAACTCCATGATTACAATATTAACCATAAGAATCTTTCATATGTATTGACCATTTTACTCTCTTCTACTATAAACTGTAAAATATTCATTTGCCTTAAATTTCATCCACTTTTCTACTGAAAATAAATGATCAGGATTTTGCACAATGTTTTTTAAATTCTTTATCTCTAATGAGTTATGAGATGACATTCTTTCAAGATCACTCAATTGACAGCCTGGAATAGATGCTCCCCACTAAAGTTTCTGTTTCAAAGATCACCTGAATAACAGAGTACTTATCTGCAGAACAAGGGAGAATACTAGTAAGGCAGGCTGAATATGAGTTGTGACTGATTAATGCTTACTGTAGGGGAAACAATGAGTAAAACCAGCCCAGCCCAAGGCAAATGAGAATTTAAATGGAAAACTGGGTCTCTGAAGTCAAAGCACCAACCAGAACTAGTTAGTCTTATAAAAACAAGGAGACTATAGCATAGCAGTCAAGTCATGTGTCATGGCAAACAAAGCCAAATAGCAGCATGGTCAGGAAGTCATGGTTAAGAACTCAGACAACCAAAGGGAAAAATCTTGGCTTATATAATCAACTCCAGTACATTTTTAGTCAGTGAGCTACACAAGTACTCACTGAATACCTACTATACCAATTATATTACTTAGTATGTATAAAAACTTCAGTAGTCAAGCTTTCATTGTGGAGAAAAGTTCATCTGTAACTGGGAAAACCAAGTAGAAACAACCCCAGTGTTAAATTCACCTATAGTTATATAAATTTAAGTTGCAACCATAACCATTCAATAAATACCTTGCTCTAAAGCATTCTTCCATCTTTTTATTTCTATTTTATTATATATTTGGAACCCCTTATATACCTCTCACCCATGACTGTTCCTATTCACACACTGATTAACATTTAGAGTAAGAAAATACTTGACAGAAACCTAGTTTCACTATAAATCAGAAAGTTGAAGTCCAAACCTGTAATTTTCTTCCCTAGTGCTTTTTCCCTTTATTCTTTTTTAGACTTTTCTCTTAAAGGATCTTTTAGGAAAACAAAGAAAAAAATGACAGAAAGGTTCAAGCAATATTATCTGTAAACTTTGAACATATTCCTAATTTTATTTTCACAGAAAGTAACTATAGATGATTTGTTCTTTTCCCACCAGTTCATTACAGTGACATAAACAAAAATACTATACCTATTTATAGTTTAGCTCATTACTTCATGACAACATAATTTGGACCAGTCAATGAAATTAACAGTATCCTAACATATTTGTGGTTTCATTTTTTTTTGGGGGGGGGTACCAGGGAATGAACACAAGGGCACTCGACCACTGAGCTACATCCTCAGCCCTGTTTTTTGTATTTAATTTAGAGACAAGGTCTCATTGAGTTGCTTAGCTCCTCACTTTTGCTGAGATTGGCTTAGAACTCACAATCCTCCTGCCTCAAGCTCCCAAGCCAGTAGGATTCCAGGCCATCCTCACTATGACTGGCTTGTGACTTCACTTTCACTTTAACAAATTTTATGATGCAAATATTATCTTTGTGACACAACACAATGTTATCAAGTTTCTCTGTTTTCTTTAAACTGATTTATTTTTTCAAATAAATATTTTGCTTATTTTGTAGTGCTGGGGATCGAACTCAGGGCCTTGTGCATGCTAGGCAAACATTTTATCTCTGAGCTACATTCCCAGACCTCAAATAAGTTTTAAAATTTTTCTTTTAAATTTTATGTTTAACACTTTTCAAGTGATATCTCAAAATTTATTCAGTTTTTAGGAAGTCTGAAAGTCTCCTTTGCATAAAGCTCTTCTAAGAATTACCAAGGTTTCAGAATTTAAAATTTTGGTTTAATCAAATCTTTTTTGTAAAAACAACTAA